CAATTCAAAGTATATTAGCACCATCTATTGATACTTTTAACTGAGTATAAAATGGAGTGTTTGTATTATCAGAAATGTCCAGGGAATCATTGATTTTTCCTTTCATTTAAATTAATTAAAGGCAGTGGGTTTAAGCATTTTCTGAGTATAATATTCACACTAAGTACAAGAGTAATGATGCCAGGTCAGTTGTTTTAATTTTTTTATAATCAGTATTTCTTATTCAGTAAATAAAGTTGCTAAAGGTAGTAATTGGATTTATGTTGGAACATCAGTGTTCTCATACAAAAAAATGTGAAAAATTAAGATGTATTAAGTTAGAAAAATATACAGATAATTCTACAGGGCAAAGAACCATTCCGCCAAGTCCAGGTAAGGTGATAATAAAACATCTTGTTCAACATTTCCCTAGTTATTTCAAACGTTTCTCAAACTTAAAAGATTGCCCCTCCCCCTCAGTCTTTCTATTGGTCTGTATTAACTAAACAATGCTTTTTGCCATTTATACAAAGCATTTTTAATCTGTATTTTTAAAAAAACAGAGTTCATATGGGCTTAACACATGAAAAGATGGTTCAGCTCTACTTGCAAAACCCAAAGATACACAATCAGTTTTGAAATGCAATTTAAGCCATTAATTGTTGGTGTGACTTTAAAGTTTTCTAGTATTTGTATGGTAGTATTGCTGCCTAAGAGCAAAAGCATTCTCTGCACAAAAGAAAATTACTGTAGTGGCTTTGGTTTTTAATTAGATTTTTCTCCCTGGTGTTTCTTTGTAGACTAAAACAAAATCTTTTCAGTTTCTTACTACAGGTAAAGCTATGTGCAAGAACCTCAAAATGCTAAAATCTAGCATAATGCCTTAGATCTGTTTTTAAGTCTTGTATATTCCTACATAGCTGTCTGATGTATTATATTTGTATAGTGAATTGTGTACAATTTTGGAATAAGCGCATCATCACTTAGCTTTCAGTCGTTGAATAGAGATGATGGACACATTACTTCAAACATTGACTTTTTTTCCTTTTGGTCATTTGTGAGTTTTATTTGTACAGTTCCTCATGAAGTTACATCTGAGATGTGTATGAGTGTGTGTATATGAAAAGATTATACAAGGGTAAAACTAAGCAATATATAAACTATGGTTCTTCAGGAGAAAGCTTACAGTGTTTTCAGGTTGTGATTTATTTTCAAGACTGAGTTAACTCTGAACATCACTTTGTTCACCTGCATTGATGTTTGTATTTCTAGTGTGAGCAGTTTATGCAAAGGTAGATATATTCAGAGAAATTTTAAATACATTTATGCAAGTTAATATTGCTTTGCTGATGCTATTTGCTTATTTGATGTTAAATAATGCTATTGTAAATAAAGAATTCAGTTATTGCATCATTTAATAAATTTTAATGCCTTCGGGTTTTACATGGTTTTAGACATAGCAACATTTCTTTTGTTGTGCCTGTTGTGTGTGTTCACAGCTGTACCAGAATGGTTTGACAAACTCCTGTTCATAAATAGCTAAGTGGGAACCAGATTGAATCCTAATCTCCACCTTCGTTGCCTAAGCATCTTTGCTTTAGCATTGACAACTTCCACTAATGGACTCTTGACTTGGAGAAGAAGTAATGCAATGCTGTAGTATATGCCTTGGAAAGAATAGGTTATATGTGGGATTTTCATAATTAACAACATCGCCTCCTAAAACACCCTTGGCTTTCTGCCTAACCTTCCTCTGTCTTCTTCAACTATCTCTCTTGAGTGTGGTCTAATGGACACAAGAAGAACTTTAAGGGGTGATCACTATCCAGTCCACACTTGTAAACTTCCTAAATATGACTGCTTGGCTACTGTGTGACATAGAAGTTTATTGGCTCTTACAGGTGCTTAGATAATTGGGGGGGAGGTATTAGTACTCTTCATGTGCCAAAAGGATGTCATGTGGAAGGTCACGAAACCTATTCTCTATCATTCCAAAATTTAGAATACTACAGGAAGTGAACATTCAAATCTCAGGAAGCCATCCTGCAATAACAGGAACTGGAAAATTGCTAGATGTGTTCAGAGTATAGCTATCAATCATGAATGCTTACATGTGAATTTAATTTGCATTAAAAATTGGGCTCGGGACTGGCTAGTTCCCTGGTTTCAAGCATGCCCTGCCCCAAAGAACTGAGTAAAGGTTATATTAGTGAGAAGGCTATATGAACATTTTTACAACTAAAATAAATACAGAGCAGTTCCTTTAAACCAATAGGGTATTGACATACAGAACCAGTAGAGAGTAGTTCATGATCTGCTGGTAGATCTCTAAGTGCTCAGCAACAGATTTCCAAAGGTCTCCGACTCCCAGTAGTTCAAAAACTGCAAGTAAACTGAAGGTTAAGAAAAAATCTGCAGTGATTTACTGAGCATTTCACTCCAATATTCCTTACCTATAAAATAGTTTAAGTCAAAGAGCACAATGAAAAA